TATCTTATAGATTATCAAATAAATTCCTTCCTTGTGCACACCCTGCTAGGTGGGGAAAAAGGATGCCCCGATGGATGGCTTTTAATCCACGTTTCAGTCAGTGATGTCTCCTCCATCTCAGCAGGTCCCTATGACTCTCAGGAGAGATGGCCGTCTCTAGCCAGGGTTGCTAGAGCTAGAGTGTGGAAGGGGACAGCACCGTGCTTTTCTCTTATCTTCAACATGATTCGTTCTACTCATTCAGTGCTGTACATTTCTTTTTAAAAATTTATTTATTTATTCTAATTTGTTACATATGACAGCAGAATGCCATTCAGTTCATATTACACGTTTCTATTAGACTTGCGAATTTTCTTCTGTTTAAAAAAAATCCATGAATTAATTTTTTTAATTTAATAAATATTTTCAAACAATGCTGTAAGCATAGCATACACACCCATTTTAAACTAAACTGAAAATAAACACTTAGCTTTACAACACATTTCTTACATTAATGGTCTGAAGAATTGCATGACTCATTTGTTTCACAGAGTTTCCTTTTGAAAAGATTGAAGGTGACACATTACATAGTACCATCACCTCTAAACCCCTACTTTCCACATATGTTATATAATCACGGAACTCTGTCAAGACAGAATAAAAAGGCATCCTTCTGATAAGAGGGAAAAAGCAAATTTTGCCTGAGGATAGTGAGAACATCACAAATTAAGTCAGAACTCAAGATTATACTGCATTAAACCAGTATTATTGGGCTGGGGATGTGACTCAGTGGTAGAGTGCTTGCCCAGCATGCACGAGGCACGAGGTTTGATCCTCAGCACCGCATACAAAAATAAATAAAATAAAGGTATAAAAAATTATTATTAGACACAAGGACAATACATTATTTTGAGAGAAGGTTTCAGTTTTATAATGGTTCACAAGAATCCAAAACAACATGTAATCAAGTTTTTTTTTCACATACTCATAATTTAAACTCTACGTGTAATTTCCTGAGGCAAAAAAAAAACACATAATTTACAATCTGAATAATATACTATATGTTAAAAAATAAAAGTACTCCCAGTGGGAGGGTAAAAGACCAGTCAAGTAGTTTCGCTCTGAAAAGCTGAACATTGCTATGCTCATTATAGGCTGAAACAGAAAAAAAAAATCTTTAGAAAGATTTTAAAAGGAATCCTCAAAAGTGATTTAAGAATAAGACATAAGAAAGTTGAAAGAACTGATTATTCCACTGGACAAATCTCTAATGCAGACTTACTTTTAAACCACCTTTAAGTTTATGATGTGCTTTACATAGAGAACAGAGGGCAGGTGTTTCTGACTTCCATAGGGGGTAATAAGCTCAAATCCTTGTGGGCCAGATTCACCTTATGTATAAAGAAGTGTCTCACTGTGAGGCTCATTAAACATTTGAATGAGCTCTGGAGTAGGTTACTGATCTCAGCCTCTGGAAATTTTTCACTGTGGTGGAGTCTCAATCATTTGAGATACTTGAAGGCTCTTTTTCAGTTGCAGAAATAGATTATATTACTTCACAAGCATAATTTATTGCTTTAGTTTCTGTGATTTATGCTGTCATAAAGAGTAAAGAGAATTTTGTGTTTATTGCAATATGAGCATGGGAATGTGAATATTTGGGGAATGTGAATATTTGAATCATACATTGTCGTTTTAAAATGTTGCATAAAATTATTTTTTTCACTAGGCTTTTATGTAGTATAAAGAGCATATCAATATGGATATGTTTATAATTGTTTCATTTATTATTGTGCAATGTACACCTTACAGTCATTCTCTTAAGTCATTCATTAATAAATTTTACACAACTATTTGTATTAAATATTTTAATTTCTTCCCACAGTTTAATACAACACTTTGCAAATTACAAAAGCCAACAGGATTCCATAATATGAAGAAAAATATGCACTATTAAATATTTATTAAAGATTGTGTGTTAAATTATGAGAAATTAGATACTTGAGTATATTTTTCCATTAAGGGTATTTTTCATCTGTACTTCAGACATGAAGTATCTAACACCTAACATTTCTTTAAATTACTGTGAAAAAAAATAACTGGAGTGGATGGATAAAATTAAAAAGGACTGCAAACGGTTTATTTTCTATAACTATTTGATTACACTGAAGAGAAAACCTTTAAAATTAAGTGATCAGTTCCTTACATAAGTTGATGAATAGCTAGAAACAAATGCATTTATGAAAAAGCAAAAATTCTTTGTGTGTAAGTTGATGATTCTATGTAAAGGTAGAATATATCAGAAAGCTTTGAAATTGGATGTGTTCGCTCCATTCTTCCCAGCCTGAAATGCATCAGCAAATGAATAGCCATATTAATACCGAACACTGTAGAACAATTGTCCTGGGCATCAATTCTAAAATGTAATCACATTTATTTAATATATTTGCTTGTTACTTTACCCAATGTTAACTCATCAGCTCTAAGAGCAAAATGGTAATCAAGTCTTTAAATTGACCTCTTTAAAGCTTTGAAATAAGTGGGTGTGACTATAACTTTAGTCATACTGTAACCAATTTCCGTTCTGCAGAACTTTACAAGTGTGAGATTTGCTTCTGAAATGGAGGGAGTTGTTCCTCCTCAGTCTAATTGCTCCAACCTTCAACTTCAACTTTGTCATATTTCCTATTCAGATGTGCATTTTTGAATTAACAGATAGGTGGGAGGAGGTCAATTCAACAAAAGTTGATTATATTATTTAAGCAACTCCTGAAATGGGGTGGATTTTAAATAAAAATAATGCACACATAACTTTAAGCAGCAATGGAAATATGTCTGTTAAGCTTAGGATTTTATTTAAGATATTTGGCATAATGTGTGCTAAAGCTTCTATGTTCTCATAAATATGAACCAAATTTTAATAATATAGTTTCTTATTGTATCAGTCTAATTCAAATAAATTTTTTTAAAAATCATGCTTATATTTTTCACATGAATAACATTTTAACCTAATAAGAAATGATATTTTAATAAATTAAACATTTTGGTTGGCTAATGTCTGCATTTATAAAGATGTAGTTTTTTGGTATATAATTTTTCACATTATGAATTAGTTTATAGATTCAGAATATGTTATTCCTGTATTTCTTTTGTCCTTGAATTACTAAAGTAAGGTTTTCTATTAATCAGAAAATGCTATAACCTATAAGTGTTATCTGCAACTTATTTTGAAAAATTAATATTATTTGTGGAGTTACCATATTTCCTGGGTTGACCAAGAAATCACAGAATCTTGAATAACTATTAATAGTGTTCTTTTTCATACAACAAGTATCCAATCGGGGTAATAAGTTATTTTGGTCACTTTAATTGTTTCAATTCATTTTATAAACTAGAGTTTTTGTGGTTGCGATCTAAATTTTCTATATTTCTGTATTCAAAATTACTGAATAATTTTCAATTCAGATTGGTCCAAATAATACATATTTGAATTACTCATCTAAAGTGTACCATGAAACAGGAAAACTGAATTCAAGGACATAAGAAAATAGGATTAGATTCTATTAAAAGAGCAAAGTTTCTGTTTATAGAATCTTCTCTGTAGCATTATGGCTGTATAGTAAGACTACCTTGTAGTCTCCTACTGTGGCTAACTTGTTTTATAATTCATTATATCATCTGATATTACAAAACACAATGTTTTGATTACTTTCAATAATAGTGACTACACAATATATGTAAATAATCATCCTCACTTTGATTTCTGTTAATAGGATGCCTGAATTTTACAGTTTTAGCTGATTTACCTGCTGAATGTTGAACTAGTAAAGGGACATTTTGGAGGTTAGAAACTGGGTTAGAGAAAAAAAAAAAGTAAGAGGATCAGGGAAAATAAACTAGGAAAACCATAAAATTAGGAAACTTACTTGAAGTGAGTGGAAATATGAGAGGAGAGGGATTAAAATTGATCAGCATATTCTTATCTTTGATAAAAGAGACAAATAGTTGTTGTACTACTTAATGTAGTTCTTAATTTCTAATGAGATTCTCATATATGTGATCTTTATTTCAACTGATCTATCATAATTTTCACATTTTTATTATACACCTATTAGGTGCTGGACAGTGATTTAGAGGGGACAATTTCTGTTCTCATTGTGTTTATGGTCAAATAGTATGAAGATTATGTAAAAGTGGTAAAACTGTCCCTTATCATTACAAATTTAAAAAATGCTTACAATTATAGGTCTGGAGAGTTGGATCTGAGCATTCCATTCCATAATCAAAGGTTTTATAAGACTGGACCCAGAAGAAAATATCTTATTCCTCTCTTTGTTTTTACCCTCTTTATGAAAAAACTGATTTCTTTTAGTAGACAAATTTACTTTAAACAATGGTAGACCATAAAACATGGTTTTTATATTCTTTTTAAAAAGTGAGATAAAATAAACCTAGAAAATGTGATTTGCCTTTGAATTTTTGAACTACCTAAATATTCTCTCATATAGTGTTCTTTAACATTTAACTATATGTATATATATATGTATATATATATATATATATATACACACACACACATACACACATACATGTATATCTGTGTATTTTAAAGTTTACTAAATTAAATATATAATTAATTATAGATTTTTTAAAGACTTGGCCTTTAAATCTAAGAGCCACACTTTTTTTCCCCCTAAACCCTGATAGTGCATAAAGTGTGATGTAGGGATTGCTGTTTAGAATTAGTCTCTACATTATTAATGATTGGTATATAGATTATCTATCTCCCATGCAAAACTTCTTTATTCATATATCAAAATTACAAACTTCAGAAACCCCAACAGAATGACTGACTCCTAGAAACCAAAGCAGGACTGAAAGAGTTGGATGCTAAGAGAAGTGTATGCTCTAGGAGAGGACAGCTGGTTTCCAGTCTCGTTGGTTCTTGTACAGTACTGTGCAGTGCTACACTCTAAAAGTCAACCACTTTTTCTTAGAGTGTTTTTCTTTCTTTTTCACAGCACGGAAAAGGATATGCTAGTCAATTCTACAGAACTTACCTGAAGCAGCATGATTTGCACAAAGTCGACCAACAAAAGCATCAACTTTTCAACTTCATTATCTTGGCCATCCAGTTAGTTGTGTGTGACTGAGTATTAGATTTCCAGCGGAGTCATCGTGGCCAATTATTAGGACCTAATTGCTCTCAGCAGGCCTGAGAAATGAGTTGAAATGTGCAGAACTGTAGAAAACTTCAGAGGCAACTGACTTTGCCTCTCCGATCAGTGTGTGCCTGTTTACAGCACTATATATCTCTCTCTCCAAATGTCACTGAGCCCTTTAGATGTTTATATTCACCACAAGAAGCCAGTCATAAAGATAAAGGAAATTTGTGCATTATAAATGCAATATCACTGTTTTAAACTTGACTGTTTTATATTATTTTTGTGTGATCAAGTGTTCCCCCAACTATTCCAACTTTACAAGAGAGATTGTGATTATGTTCTTTTCACCTGTGGGTTATAAAAAAAAAATGTTGTATTCTGAAGACCCACAATATCAAAGACATTCTGTAGTTTATACACCGTGTTGCAAAGTGTTTACTGTACTATTTCAAAGCTTCTAAATAAATATAAAATATATATATTATATTATATAATTTTCCTAAAATGTGGTACAAATCAGTTGGTTTTTAAATGGATTCATACAGTCCACATCATACAATAAAGTGAAAGGTAATTCAGGGTCGACCCAAAGATAAACTTACTAAGAAAAAGATCATTAATAGTTCCTTCCCAGTTTTCATGTCTTATCCAACCCTGTTTTTCCTTGTTTAAAAGAAAACGAAGCTCTAAGCTACAAAATTTTGTCAAGAACTCATACTGAATTTTCAATGCCAAAGATGTAGCTGTGGATGTTACCAGACAGAGCACTGAATATATGCTATCAAAATATCAAACAATCTATATGATTCTGATTCTATTTCTATGGCTTTGAATTTAGAATCACGTAAAGCTTTTATAAAGAATCTTTCACATGTATTTGTTGTTAGAAAAAAAAACTGGGTGTGTGTACATTTTGTGGTGTAAAATATGTAATTGAAGATTACTATTTTAAGAAGTCCTCCATCATATAACTCACACAGAATTTTATTTTACATACTTTTACGTAGTTTTGTGACTCAGTTGCACAGTAATATAAAATATATTTATAACTCTATATGAACATATAGAGATATATAAGTATTTGAACTGGTAAAGAATAACCATAAATATAAAGGATCTCTAAATTTAAAACATTAAATAAATTTGGGGATATATACATGGTACATTATTGTTTCAGTATTATGTGTGAAAATTTTCTATCTTAACTGTAGTCAGTGTTTATTAATGGCAAAATTCTTCATGAGTCAGCCTTGAAAAATCAAGCTTGCCTTTTACTTTTATGTCAACAAAGTTAATTATTAAATTCAGTAAGATGCAGTTTTCTTCCTTTTACATATTTTTTTTCCTACAGTGGTTTATTGCTTACTGAAACACAATTAGGAGAGGGGGGAAATGAGAGAATGTGAGATGATTTCTAAGCAAAAAGTAAAATTGTCACAGTTTCCCTCTTAAAAAGCATTGAATATGATATCCCCATATGTCCCATCCAAATGACAGACCTATTTTGAATACTACCCTTAATTTTAACTGATCTTACATTCAGTGTTAGTTTGAGCTGCACAATGTTACTGAAGAATAAACTAAAACTTAACAAATAGTCTCTACCTGTTTTTAGGTAATGGAAGTGAATTTTCCTTAGATTTAACATTAAGATGCATACCTGATTCACATGTCCTGGATGTTTACCTTTAGAGTGATGTCTCAATGTCACACATTTGACTGCTATCAAACTAGATAATAAAATGTCATAATCCCAATTAGTTTATAGACCAAAATAATGTACTTTAATATTCCAGTCTTCGGGGACTCTTTAAAGATGAAGCTAATCCCTCATATGTACTATAGAAAGCACATACCTTCATCACGTGCAGCAGTAATATTTTCCCAACTTTTGGCATTTACTACATCAATATTTTGAATGATAGACAATTTTAGAAAGTAAACATTTATATATAATTTAACTGGAAAAAAGTCTATTTGTTCTAATTGCTTCTTAAACAAGAAAATTATTTTCTTGTAGAATCACTCCTTTGATTAAATCCTTTCATGCCTCGTTTTACAATCATGGGGGAAAATCCACATCCATCCTGTTTATTACCTCTACTAAAAATAATGTTATAATCACTTCATATATAATAGATATATTAATTCATTGGATTGAAGGTATTTTCTTTAATCATTTAACCCTTTATTTAACCCATTGTATATATTTTTCTTTAATCGACTTTTATAACATATATTTAAATATTAGCTTTTATGTATATATATATATATATATCTCATAGTAACCTCATATAGTAATTTGCATTTTAGTTCTTAAATTATATCATCATTCCACAAAACAAGTCAAAAAGATTACCTATTTTGATGGACAGCACTATCCCAAAGCAGAATACTAAATGATTAGCTTATTAATCAATCATTGCATCCACAGTAGGTCAGAAATTACAATACAGTAAAGATCTTATTTTTAGTAAATTGTCAAAAATGTTATCCATCCACAAGGGGGACTCAAAAAATGGAAAGTACAACCAACTAATAATAAAGTTTGCTAAATAAGTATTAACTAAGCTAGTATATCAAGGAATTATAGTATAGGCTTTCTATTTAATCTGGTCATTCTAACATCCAATCTTCCATAATTTTTGTACATGTAAATGAAAAACAATATACAGATTCGTAGATGTATTTCATTGATAAATTACTACAGAAATGAATAATCATGCCATTTACTCCTTGTTAACATCATGAGTTTTAGAGCAGTAAAAGTCAGAAAATTTTCCTGTGGAAACAGTGTTTTAATGCTTCAATGGTATGTCAAATGACAATTTTTAGAAAATATTCATCCACATGTAAAATTCTAATTATTAGCTTATCAACATAATTTTGTGAAACCGTTTTAAATCAAATAATTAAATACTTCATCAGAATTGCTTTAAAGATATAATGATGTCAATAACATAAGTGTATCCTCTTTTCTTGGGACATATTAAGGATATATGCATAGTTTTGTTAGGAAGATATCAAACATATCAAATTTAGAACTATAGTAGAAGACTGAAATACTTTAATTACTCATTCTGTTTCATTTCTTAATTGTGCTCTAATTTGATTCGTCAGATGTTTATCATTTGGAAACCCTCCTGCTTTTCAATAAGAGGAATAAAAAATTCTCGAAGTTCTCAACATAAGCTTTCTTAACCATGCATTGATTATACTATCTTACCTTCCCTAAATCACTGACTGCAGCTCAGTTGATCTTGAGTATAATTGCAGAGCTGGAATGTGGCAACTGCTAAGCAGGATAAAGGATGCATTTGTGTTCTTGACTGATGTCAGCATGGTTTTTGTCATTGCATGAGATTTTCTCCGCTCACTTCTCTATGTACTATGAATACCCAAGGAAATCAAAAAACACTGAAAAAATTAGTATACTTGATAATTTTTTCTGAAAATCTTATATTTTTCATATTATGATATCTTGGGTTCTTTATCTTTTTCAAGTCTAATTTTGTAGTGGTAAAGCTTTGCACTTAACATCCTTTTTATGTTCCTTTTTAACAAGGAAAAACAGTAAATAACAAAATTCCATATTTTTTACACCACGGAGTAGTACAATTATTTTCTATATTGTTAGTACTTCAAGGACTATCCCTCTGCTAAGTCAAGCAAAATCCTTCTACAGTAATTTGTGAAACTGTTCAGTAGAGTATTTTTTTCTTCAGAAACTTGGCATAGGCTTTAGACTATAGCATTCTTTAAGAATGCGGTAGGTGGGTGCCGCCAGAGTATTCCAGGCAATAATATGAGTAAAATTCTAATACCTTCAGTGTGCATGCATGTATTTCTAATCACTGTTATTTTTTAAGTATTTGTAAAATTAGAAAAATGACTTTTATTTCTTGACAACTTGTCACATGCTTAGTTTGAAGTTTTACTCTCCAGATATTTTTGAGTTGTGCAAAAATATTGCATCCAGGATGCAAGTGTATTGTGTTTTCACACAAGACTCAAAAATCTCTGAATGACAGAATTTAGACTTTCAAACATCCACACATTCTTGAGCTGAAAGTAAGCAGGGAATTTCAGCTCTAAACACATTTTTTTTTTGAGACAGTTATCTGTGAGTGAAAACAGGGTATTATAACAAAAGATGAGTTTTGATCTTAACTATAGTGTTTGTTACTGTGAATGCTATAATAATACATAAGTAAAATGAGTGTAAATGTAATATATTATTTTATACTGCTGTATACATATGAAATAAATAAAACTAGGATACATATCATGCCATTTTTCCATGCATGGATCTTCCACTGTGGGAGCTTTGAATAAAAATCAATGGCAAAAATGTGGCCCTAAGTTTAAAAACAACTAATGCTGATTTAGTAACTTTAGTCTTAATATAACAGGTCTAAGGGGGACATCTGTTCAAAACTGATTCTCATTTGATGCAACATATGCTAGGTTTGAAAGGATTTCATGTATTTATGGTTTTGAATGTAGGCAATTCCACACGATTCTTATGATACCCAAGATGAATCCTTAACATATATATATTTTTCCACCTGGTACTGTTCTTCTTTAACTTTTTTGATCTGTAGTAATATCAAGGGTCCACAAAGATTAATGGAGAGGTTGTACATATGATATGGGTGCCTTCAAGCAATAAAGAAAGGTTTTTGGTTTTTTTTGTAAAATTTAGAAACATTTCATATTTAAGGTTCATAGAAACAAAATGAAAAATAAAGTTCTTATGGGTATCATTGTCAAAGAAGAACATATGAATTAAAGTTTAGATATTTTTTATAATGTTAACATAATCTGAATGAACCCTATAGAAATTTCAATTCTGAAATATCTAAGTGGTGATATAGAAGAAACGCCATGCTTCTTAATCTTGTGTGTGGTTTGTGTGACTCAAGTTCAAATTACACAAAGTGCACACACAAGGTTCATTTAGAAGGCAGTAAGCGGGAGGATTAGGTACTTTTCTTGCTTTAAACGTCTAGTATTTTCAACCCTGTGGGGAAAAAGAACTGAATAAGATACATAGGAGTGATAACACTCCATGAAGTGTTATCAGCTCTAACCACAGGGTGCCTGAGTCTCCCTGTAGCTCTTCTGCCTGCCCCTTACTTTCACCCTTTCTGAATACCATATCATGGACTCTTTCATTAAAACAAGGTTGTGAATTTTTAGAAGTAAAATTAAACTTTATTAATTACAGATTGAAGTTCGATAGTGAGGGGATGGGATATAAGAACATATGGTAATATATGTCTCTTAAGAAAATTCTAGTTTGTTTTAGGAGCCAAAGAAATTGCAGGAAAATATCACATAATTAAATAACCAAATAATTGAATAATCAGACATAGTGGTCAAAATCTATCGGTGGCGTCATGAAATCAACTTAATGTACAAAGATAATGACATGAAAAGAAAAAGAAGTAAGTAGAATAGAGAAAAAAAGTAGATGATAGAAAAACATTAAAACATACCACTTATGTAAAAGTAAATAGTTCTTGGAGAAGCTTTTTTTTCGGATCTGTGTGTGAAATAGGTCACAATCTGAAATGTATTTCTGACTGTGCATCATTTCCCCAAATGTTTGAAATGTACTGTACCATAGGATCTCTGTTTCAAATTTCAACTTATTTAATGGTGTAGAGAGTCAGGGAAGATATTTTTTGAAAATGTACTTCTCAGATGAATCTTAGACTTTACATTTTTGAAAATGTGGATAGGTATATTAGCTGTAGCTTTTTTTCTGAGAATTATGTGAACTGATGTCTGTGAAATGCACAACATGACAGTCACATGCAAGGGGTGTATGTCAGTATTAATACCATTTCCCATCGCTTTGCCAAATATTCTTGGCTACCAAAAGTAGAGAACACACTCTCCAAATGGAAAGAATTCCTTTCTCACCATTCCAGACTGCTGTAGACTTGTATCTGAGCCGCACTTAACTTCAAAACCTCAAGATGAAAGTGGGTTTCCTTTGGTATTCCCTCCTGGGATTTGCTCACCTCTTCCTCCCCATTTACCAGTGCTGTGGAGCCCAAGAAATAAAACTCATGTCTGGCTTTTGCAACTCCTGTGCAACCTTCATCCCAACTTTTGAAAAAAAAAAAAAAAAAACACCCTGATTGCACTAGAATATTTACCCTACTTTTCTCCTTTGATGCCAATGTCCTTTCTAAATATCTATTTCCATACAAATCAATGTGTTGGAAACACTGCAGATTTGATAGATCATATGTTTTTGCATATGTTTTTTGCATATGACTACTATTCATTTCAAAAATAATTGCACAGTATTCAGCATCTGCTCAATAGTATTGGATTATTTTAATTGTTCTGATTGTAGATTGCGTGGTGTTGGCAATCCCTAGCTTAGCAGTCTGCTCCCTAGAGCGATCCTTTGGCTGTTAAAAATATTTCTAAAACCCCCCTTTTATTTGAACAATCTGTTAAAAGTTCTCTTCCTTATCATGGAAACTAGATTTTTAAATTTTCAGGTAAAATAAGGTAGTTCATATTAATCTGTAACTAAATCAATGTTTCTAAGGGAGCATTCTTCTTTTACAAAGAATGTATTAATTCATGTAAACTTCTAAAGAGAATATTGCATGGATGAAGATACTTTTTGTTTTGTTTGCTTATTTGTTTTCCTTTGAGAGCAGTTGATAATCATGGGGTAATTCTTTAACCAATCTCTCTGGGAACAAGAAACATCTGAATTAAGATTATAATCACCAAATCAAGAACACAACAGTAGTCTCTCTCCCCTCCCTTTCCTCATCATTGTGAATAACTCTTCTCTTAATAATGAAAAAAGGAACACAAGTGTTGGTATGGTGGAGTATTTGAGTCTGAAGCACAAAGTGTGAGCATTCTCTCATTGGTGGCTGTGTTTTCTAATTAATAATTAATAATGGAGTCAACGGCCCATTTCTAAGTTTTCTGGCAATTCATTTCTCTCAGTATCTGGGGTGTGCGTTTGTGTGTGTGTGTGTGCTGTACAAGGGTGAGTGGGGAGACTGTGGCGTTGTTTATGTGCGGGAGGTGTGGGTGTGTGTGGGTGAGTGATAAAAAGGAATATTGAAGAGCACAAAAGAGACCCCCAGGAAGGAACGCCTGGAGGGACACAGTCATCTCACAGGATATCAGCTGTGCTCCCATGTCCTTTCACTAAGTAGTCAGAAGAACATCAAAGGGCCCAGTTAGAAAGCAATAGCATTTGATCATCTACAAGTTGGTTTGGGATTTTCAACAGCATGAAATCAATGATTGATTGCTTTTGACATTGTGTGAAAACCACCCTTATTTATGAAAAGACAAAAACTGTGCAATGTAATAATAAAATATACCAAATAAAACTGAATCCAGAGGAGCTCATAAG